ACAGTATCTATTCAGCATCACTCTTTCATCATGGTACATCACCAATACTACATACTCAGCATAACCTTAACTACATACATCATATACATATTTCTTTTCACACTGCTTTGACTTTCCATACCTGATTAGCACTTGTATACACAGAACATCTATATCTAGGTTACATTATTTCTCATAACTCATTACTGTTTAAGATTTACCCTACCCATAGCCAGGATTTCCCCAGCCATGGTGCTTTGTTATGGTATGTACAGTGGGTGGACCGTTATTTTTGGCTGCTTGTTTTGGATCCCACAGCTTCAAAGCACAGGATTGAAGCAATGGTGGGCCAGTTACACTAACCGTAGTGTTATGTAGCGTAGTGTTAGCTTTTTAAGCTACGCTACACAAAAGTTACTGTTAGCGGGAATTTTTGGCCCACTAACACTACAGGATTTTTGAAAAACAAAAAAACAACTTGAGCGTAGTGTTAGCTACCTTTAAAAAGGCACAACTAACACTACCCAAAATCCTGTTAGTGAAATTTTAGCGGTGTTAGTGGGTGAACCCACTACACTACATGTTAGTGTAACTGATTAAAAGTTACAATAACTGTTAGCGTAACTGACTATGTAGTTAAATGACCACATGACTAGTGCTAGTCTACCCTGAAGACAGTGCCTGATTGGGGGGCCTACATCCAGATCCCCTCAATTGATCATCATTTTTTTTCAGTTGGTACTGGGGGCCACTCAATTTTAGCCCCCTGCCATTTTTTCACACTTACTTGTAAGACCACATTCCCCTGTCAGACTACCTTAAGACCATGGGTTCAATTCCCCACACTTACTTGTGTTCAATTTCCACTTTCACATCATGCACCAAGGGGGGGAAGGGGGTGTTGAGGTGTATGATAGTCTGATACCATTATGTATCACCAGAGTGTGGTGGAGCTTTTGGCTTGGGGCATGACAACTACCACCCAACTGACCTGGCAAACACAAGCATCTGTAGCCTAGTTGGTAAAGGAAACACTCTGGTATGTGACTCAGCATTGCTGAGGTTGTGAGTTCAAATCTCACCAGACACATCCTCAGTTTGTTTTTCTCCACATCTTGTGCTGTTCATTTTCTGTGGGATTGTGTGCAATCACGGGACATTGAAAATCGTCACCGTGGACCTCGGCCGTATCAGTCACATGAACATTTGACATAATTTGTGCAAAAATCCAGCTTGACACATCAATTTCTCTAATTGATGAGTTACACTATGCTACATGTGTAGTGTAACTTCTACTGTAGCGTAGCGTAACTAGGCATGTAGTGTAGTGTAACTTCTACTGTAGCGTAGAGTAACTAGGCATGTAGTGTAGTGTAGCGTAGCTTAATTTGGTATAAGTTACACTAAATGTTAGCTTCAAATCAGTTACACTAACTGTTAGTTTAGCTGAGTTTATTTGAAGCTAACACTACCAAAAAATTTGAGAGAAACATTTACACTACACTAACAGTTAGCGTAGTGGGGTTTAGTGTCAGCTAACACTACAGAATTTACAGGAAATAAAAAGACCACTACACTAACAGTTAGTGGTCAAATAGCGTAGTGTAGCATAGCGGCCCACTGTTGATTGAAGTTAGAGATGGTCGCGTTGGATCCGGATATCCGCTGACAATTTCAGCGAAATCAGGCATCCGCATCCACTTGCGGGTATTCGCTGGCGCTGGCGGGTATCCGCGCGGATATCCGCGGATACCCGCCCTCTTAGTGGTTGACGCCGGCGATCGGGATTTTTTCTTTTTACAAAAAACAAGAAAAGAAAAATAACCGCCCCCCCTCTGCCTAGAGAGGAGAGGCCACGCCGCCGGGAGGAATCCCTCCCGGCAAGCTGGTGTAGTGTGTACATACCAGCTTGTTGGGGAAACATCCTCCAGCTCTGGATTGATCGGCTGGCCTTCAGAAGATGGACCGCGGACACAAACGTAGTGACTCGTGAGCTTGGTCAAGACCTCAGAGGCACCCTTGAGGAACAGACGATAGCGGCCACTCTCCGGAAGTCGGACAACGACGCCCATCGCCTTCCGCTGAGAACTGAAGGGGATCATTTGCACGATGTCCGCGCCTTGTCGGACTTGGTGATAATCAGGCTATCCTTGCTCCTTGGCAAAACTCAACAGAGCCGTCTCAGTCTTTGAGCCAATGAACTCCAGCTGACCGCCACCAGTTTTGGCCTCAAAGGCAGTCGAGTTAATCGCAATCGATTCATTGAATAATTGGATCAATCCCGGGGTCAGATTTTGTTGGATTCTAGCTTGGTCGACCAAGAAATCTAGACGTAAATTAATTGTGGTGAGCAGTTTGAGTTGCGCTATGAGTCGAGGGAGAGTCGGTATTGTCAGTGATGCTGATCTGGGGGTTTCCGTTTTTGGGTGAGTCTGTGAAGCCAGATTGTATTTCTGCTGAAGCCATCTCATCAACATTCACCCGTCGTTCGTTTTGCTCTAGATCCGCGGCAAATTTACAATGAACGCCGATCAAACCCCCGACGAGCACCAGCTCGTCGGAAGGAATCCCTTCTGACGAGCTGGTCTTTGTACCAGCTCGCCGGGAGGGACTCCTCCTGACGAGCTGGTTTAAAATCCGGCTCGCCGGGAGGAACGCCTCCCGACAAGCTGGTATGTACACCAGCTCGTCGGGAGGAATCCCTCCCTCCCGGCAAAAGTTTTAGGGAGCCATCAGGCCTTGGACGATTTGAACTCGTTGTCGTTCCCCGTTGCTGATCTGATGCATGTGCCAATCAAGATCGACATCCAGAATGTTCAGCAGCCAATATCATCGACTTTTGTGGCGGTATCCTCCCACCGAATCTCTGTTGTTTTTATCGTTCCAAAATCCGTACAATGCTGAGTTCACGGGTAAAAAAAAAACAGATTTCATGAAGAAAAAAGGCGTAGCGATTGAGTACTTACAGGAAATGTGACACGACGAGATCAGATCGGACAACCGAGTTGCTGGCCCATGTGTTGAAGAAAACAGACGAGCCGGTCTGTGTACCAGCTCGCCCGGAGGGATTCCTCCCGGCGGCATGGCCTCTCTAGGCCGAGGGGGGGCCGTTTTGTTTCTTTTTCTTTTTTTTTACAAAAACAATTAATCCTCTTCACTCTCTTGGCACCGGGTATCCCAAGGGATACCCGGATATCCACCAGGATTTTGGGGGGAAAAGGACATCCGCACCCGAATCCGCACCCGCTGGCGGGTATCCGCTGGCACTGGCGGGTATCCGCCAGCGGATAGCGGATATCCGCAGCGGATTATCCGCGACCATCTCTAATTGAAGTCATGAGACTTGGTCAAGTGGTGCAGAATAGGTCGCAAAAAATGAATATGAAAAAATAAAAACAAAAAACAAAGTTTCAAATTTTGTGAAAAATAAAAAATAAAATTGGCTTTTTTCAAGGGCATTAATAAAAAAACACGGGTTTTCCGCATTTACACACAGTTTTGCTGCGGCACAGCGCACACGGTTTCCGCGTTTAAACACAGTTTTGTATATAATTTTTTACCACCTATTTTTCAAGTTTTTTTGAATTTTTGAATTTGTTTCCTAAACTTTATAAGGTTTAGAATTTAATGGTAAAAACCATTTTTCATAAGAATGAATTTTGATTATTAATTATTTTTTTCACTCATCCAAGTATATTAAAGTCAGTGATTTACAGAAAAAAAAATCAAGGGTTCCCCCTTACAAAAGGCTAAGATACAAAAAAAACTTCAAGGGATTCCCCTTATAACAAAAAAAAAACAGAAAAAAAGACTATACCAATTGACAAAAAAATAATATAAGAAAGCCCCCCAACACCAGCATAGCTGGTGCACTTGGACTCATAGGCCAGCCCATGTCATTGCATGGGTCAAAACCTCTGGGCATGAAGGCCCCCAGCCCACTGCAAAGGCAGCAGACCAAGTGGGGGGCCAGCTCGTTAGCCCCTCAGACTGTACAAGTGCAACAGCGGAGGGGAATGAGGATGCTCTGATTGTTAGAATTTCAACATTCTCGGCACCTGGGGCTAACAAGCTTGCTTTACCTTGCCTTCTTATAGAAAGGGCTTTCCACCTCCTGGACCAAGGACCACCCAACATATTACCATTGCCATGCCCATCACCATTGTTTTAAGCCCATCGCCACCATCACCACCACAACTTTTCACTGGTCCGGTTACCGCCCAGAATCTTCCGGCCTTTTTTCTCTGTTGCTCAGTTCCTTTGAGATACCCATCGCCATGACAGAATCATCTAGACGCCTTCCCTCCTTGTGTCGCGACAGTTGTAGTACGATGTCAAGGGTCCCTTGATGTTTGAGAACCAAAATGCTAGCAAGACCTTCACCGACCACTCTGCAAGAATGAGTCAGTCTACCTACCCAATCGCCCCACACTTTGGAGGTCAGATTACTGAACTGTTGATCGTTTGTCACATCAGAGAATGCTAATGACTATTTGAAGGGCCTTATCATCAAAATTTCCCTTGCCGATCTGAATAAGGATGAGGAACAAGGTGAGTTTGACAGATTTTTACTCTTGTATTGCCGTCTAGAGATATTCACTCGTGATTCTTGGAGAAACACACTTACCAAAAAAATCGACTGAAAGAAGAACATGATATGACCGTTTTACCATGGGGGACCACAACTCGGTGAATCCCTTCCTGTGAAGCCAAAGTTAAGAAAAAAGCCATTCTAGATTGATGTTATTGAAACATCACCGATTCACGATGATTGAATAGGATATTGGACTTACCATGAGAATAGCAATGATTGATGTGCTCATCCCTGTCAAGTCTAGAAGTGAAGAGCAGAGGTCTTCGTACCAAGGAAAACAAATTCCACTTTGAGTAGACATACAGAGATTGAAAGAGAAAAACCAAAAAAGTCAGGCAATGAAATCGGAAGGCAAAGGAATTAGGAGGAGTTGATTGCGCGAAGTGATCTGAGGATTGAGATGATCAGCACTACAATAAAGAAACCAAGGTAAAGCCAGTACCTTCTTCAGCACCCCCAACTGATGAGGGATCTTCCTCTGACCCTCCCGTCACCTCAAATCATAAATCTCACCAGCCGGATGAAGAAGACAAAAAACAGAAACCCAAACCCACTCCTGCCAAGATGGCAATGATTCTTGGGAAATTGATTCAAGAAGTCTTTTGCTATTCAGACAATAATTATTTTAGCATGAGGCCACTCTGTATCAAATGGGCTACAATAACTCTTACTTTTCAGACTCTCGGAGCGCGTTATCGGGCAAGGGCAGGGTTGCCTCATCCTCGCCTAACCGAGATGATCTGGGACCACCAGGAACGGCAGAAGTGGAAGCTTCGGAGATTGAAGGACCACCCTCACAGGAAGGCCTTGTTGCAGCATGTGCGTCTGAATTGATTATCTGAGATGTATGCAGCAACCTAATCCTGCGTGGTCATCAAATTATAGCTTCTACTTCCTATTGCAGCATGGATGAGCCCTCGCCGTTCTTAAACGGTGACTCGGCACTGTCTTTGCATCGTTATGAGCAGTCGGACCCACGGTTGTCTCCAAAGTATCTCTCAGGACCTCCGGTCAATCTTTCTATTTTGCCTACCTCACCCGTTTGCTCTGGATCTAGAGAGCAGGGTGCAGAATATCCAACCCAGGATGATCCAAAGGGTTTCAAAAAAAACTATAGAATAAGCAGCACGGTCACAGATCCAATTTCATTAGACAGTTGGAAAATAGAAGAGAATAAACCAAATTGTATGTTCCAGAATGACATTCTCCCTATGGAATTGCAATCCGCTATGGAACTGAGAAGAGTCAAAGTGAGGGTGGGATGGGGAATTACTTGAAATGGAAAATGGAAGGTTTGAGCTGGGAGGTTATAAAGAGGCAAGTTTCGATGTAGAAGTGGGGGTTTTTGGGTGTGGATCAGACTGTGGTTAGGTGTAGGGTATTGATATTTACCTGGGTCCCTATACTGAGTTGTGGCCTGCATCAGAACAGAGAGATGATGACCAATGTTTGCTGGGACACAGTTAATGTAGATTTGCTACATAACTGCTGCCCGCCAGAACAGGAGGTTGACACATTTATCTGATTTTAATTTAGCTCTTAAATAATAGACTTTTACTTACCTATGCCATGGTTCATATGCGGGTGATGGTCTTCTTTTGTGAGCCTTTAACAAAATAGATAAATCTAAATTATTCATTTTTCTCAGTCCATTCTATTTTAACTATTGTTGTCTCTCATATAAAAGAATCTCTTTTCTTTTTCATTGTTAGATTAATTTTGATCATGTGTTTCTGTATTTCTTTTTTTTTCTATTTTATGATGAACACAAAGGCCTTTGCTTGAAAATTTGTGTCTATCTTGAATAACATTTGATCAGGCAAGGATTGACTTCAGGGGCCCTGTTCTTCAATTTCAGCATTCCTTATTCATTACCATTGAAATAAGTGATGCTCTTGCTTGCCCTGCCAGTGTTTTCATTCATAATATAGCTAGCCCAAATTTTCCAGTAAAGTGTCAGGTTGGGTTGAACTGGTGATAGTGGAGAGCTGTGACCCAACCAGATGATGTAATTTACACATAAATCCCAATCCTCATTACATGGAAATTTGTCTCATTTATCCAGTGAATCTTTGAGTTCTTGAATGAGCTACCTGGAATTTCATCATGGAACTATCTCTGTTGTTTACCCAATGATAACATCTGATATTATAAGTATCATAGCCATAATTTAGTGGATGTAAATTCACCATTTTAAGAGAGCTCTGCTGAGACCTTTGGAGGTTATATGATCATGAAGGGCTTGCAAAAGGATTATTACTCTTTGTGTTAGCAAAGCAGTGATTTTTTTATTGGTAAAAACAATTTTTCTTCCTTTTGAAATATATCTGTAACAACGGTGGGCCGCTACGCTACACTACGCTATTTGGCCACTACATGTTAGCGTAGTTGCTTTTTTTTTTGCTGAAAATCCTGTAGTGTTAGTTCACGCTACACACCGCTGAGCTAACTGCCAGCGTAGCGTGAAATTTTTCCCTCAACTTTTTTTTAGTGTTAGCTTGAAATAATTGCCACTAAACTAACAAGTAGCGTAACTTTTTCCAAGCTAACAAAACTTCCACTAACCAGCAGCGTAACTGAGTTGACGGTAACATTTAGCGTAACTTATACCAAATTAAGCTACACTACGCTACACTACATGCCTAGTTACGCTACACTACATTAGAAGTTACACTACACATGTAGTGTAGTGTAACTTGTAACTCATCAATTAAAGAAATTGATATCAAACTGGATTTTTGCACAACTTATGTGAAATGTTCATATGACTGATACGGCCGAGGTCCACGGTGACGATTTTCAATGTCCCGTGATCGCACACAATCCCGCAGAATATGAACAGCACAAGATGTGGAGAAAAACAAACTGAGGATGTGCCTGGTGAGATTTGAACTCACAACCTCAGCAATGCTGAGTCACATACAAGAGTGCTTCCTTTACCAACTAGGCTACAGATGCTTGTGTTTGCCAGGTCAGTTGGGTGGTAGTTGTCATGGCCCATGCCAACAGCTCCACCACACTCTGGTGATACATAATGGTAGCAGACTATCATACACCTCAACACACACACACACCCCTGGCTGCATGATGTCAAAGTGGAAATTGAACACAAGTAAGTGTGGGAATGGAACCCAGTAAATTAAAAAATGGCAGGGGGCTAAAATTGAGTGGCCCCCAGTACCAACTGAAAAAAATGATGATCAATTGAGAGATCTGATGTAGACCCCCCCAATCAGGCACTGTCTTCAGGGTAGACTAGCGCTAGTCATGTGGTCATGTAACTACATAGTCAGTTACACTAACAGTTAGTGTAACTTTTAATCAGTTACACTAACAGTTAGTGTAACTTTTAATCAGTTACACTAACAGTTAGTGTAACTTTTAATCAGTTACACTAACAGTTAGTGTAACTTTTAATCAGTTACACTAACAGTTAGTGTAACTTTGCAAAAAGTTACACTAACATGTAGTGTAGTGGGTTCACCCACTA